CTTGTGCCAGGGAGCCCACTCGTACAAGAAGTAAAAGAATTACCAGCGCCTGGGCATCAGCAGCAGTTTGATTCATTCATAGCAGCAGATTTCAATCTATCATCAAACATGATCAGAAGGAAAAAACGAGGGACGCACCCTTTGTACCGGCTGTACGCAGGCACTGTTGCTGGGGACTTTACTGGGAGTCCTGCCTTAGGTGTGCAGAACTGCAGAGTCTGTGTTTTGTCTGAGGACCATGGAGAGACACAGCCTTGGTGTCCATGTGGGGAGAAAGATCAATGTCTTTGAAAAGAATATGCACTAAATACATTGTTTCAGGTAAATTGTGAGCAATGACATAACACTCACAAAAATAACATGGCAAGGCTGAACAATTTGTTTACAGCTGGACCGCCTTCTTCGACACTTCAGGACTGCAGTTCCTTGGCTTTTGCAGTACCCTATATATCACTATTCAGACAATGGAAATCGGGTAAATATTTTTCCTTCAAAGTCATCGATATGATTGGAGAGAAGCAAATAGTTCATCTTCCCCAGAGTGCTTTCTGCTGGGAACAGGAGCTTCCACATAGTCCTATATGATGAATTATAGGCGAGGTGAATTGTCTCAATGGACTATACACCTATCATAATAACGAATATGAAAAATATCTTAACCGTGGCCTTACAAGTCACAGTAATAAAATCAAGGATAACCTAATCTTCTGGCTCATAACAGAATAATATTACAGTACATTTTTTTATAAAGTGCCCTTATTTATCCTTCTGTAAATTAACTCAAATACAGCAATAAAAATAGACGAATGGAACTTAATGAAATGAGAAACAGTTATACCTTTACATCTCCACAAACGGATCCTTCTGAGCTCAGTACTAAAGCTCAGAGCCTTTTTAAATATAATTACAGAAGTAAATGTCAGAGGTGAGGTTTAATACTGCCTACGGTTTTGGGGATTTGTGCAATTGCTGCTGTGTTGCTACAACAAGGCTGCAACAACACAAGTGAAGATGAGGAAGCAAAGAAAATCCAGGCAGTTGCCAGAATAAATCTGTTCGAACACTGTTGCTGCAGCTTCTCAGATGAACAGTCTGCTCTTCTGAGTATCTACTGCTGGAAAACTAATGACCCTGGGAGTGATGAAAAACAAGTCAGAAATCTGTGTTACTCGTACGTTTTAAAGTGGCACAAAGTTTGGAAGTCCGTGTGCTTTGAGGAAGAAATAGAGATCAGCTGTATCTCAGGGAAGAAATGGAAAAATCTGTAATGGTAGTGATCCTTATTTTTGTGCTGAGTTTTAAATTCATTGGTAGACTTGTGGCATAGAAATGATTAGGCAAAAAAGAAGCATCTTGGCAGAAATCTTTTGGATGTAAAAATTAACATCGTTGTAAATAGCAAAGACTATTGCTTAGGATGGGATTGTGAAATGACTTATAACAGAGACAGGAAGGGACTTGATGTTTCCTGGAAGCCTGTACGCCCATAGATTTCAGTGGGGCTTTCATCTTGTGAGAACATCACTGGCTGTTTTACTACAGCAAACACAGTTTTTCAAAGACATACTGAGTTTCTCATCAGTTCAAATGGAAGGAGCACATCCCATAATATGCTTCAAATGGCTTATCCGCTACCTATTTGAAGGACCTTTGTGTTCAAGACCCACAGATGTTTCTTACAGTGCTGGTGCAGCCCTTGTCTTCTAAGCGAAGCAATGAAGAAATATACTCAGTAGCAAAGTGCTCCACCACTTTTGTAGTTTTAACGTACAGGTTGCTTCAGTTTCAATGAACAGGTATTAAGAGAACGCTGACCTCGCTTCAGCAGTATATGCATAAATCAAATGCATAAACATGTACTTAATTAAGCATGCAATTAGCTGAAACTTTGCCTGGTCTAGACTTTTCCATGTGCCAGTGTGCTGCCAGCAATCCAAAGGGCAAAGGATATCACAAGTTGCACAGACATGGGTGGGAGGAACTGAGAGCAGCAAATGAGGTGAATGCAGAAAAAAATGTTAATTTGTTTAGGAACTACACAGAAAACAATCACTTTCCACTGTGCTTTTCATTTAACTTTGCCACCCCAGCACTGTGAACAAATACAACAGGGTTGCCAGATGCAAATTAATGCATCAAGCTCCTAGTGAAACTAAAAAGAGACTGGCCAGTAACCAGCAACGCCTGCTGAAACGTGAACCTTGCATTAGCTGAAGTGGCTGGTCCCTGGGTTATTTTCTGTTTATTTAGTTAAGTAGCAACCCAGCCTCATGTGGAATGAGCAAATTGAGAAACACAAGCCAAGAGTGAGTTACATTTTCCCAAAGAAATGGAAAGCTTTTTGATGGTTAAATACAGTGCTGTGCTGGAGTAACACTATACTAAATATTCAGCCAGGCGAAAAGTGGAGGAGTATACCCAAACCAACATTCTCCTTCTCCGACATCCACACTTAAATAGAGAGATGCCATCGTAATTATCTTTTGAAATGTCCCTGAGTTATTGTATCTACAGAATTACTATTTTAAAATCAGCCTGCTATTTTAGTCCTATCAAAAGACCCAAATTTATTCTCCCTTATGTGGGTGGGGTTTCTCTAGCACCTCATTCCTTCCTCCCCTAGCCTCCATCCAAAGAAGCACTCTTCAAAGGACAATATGTCCCAAGCGGGTAAGTGTAAGCATATTCTAAGTGTTTCTCATATTGTAAGTGTTTCTCAATATGTAATTTTGTGGAGCTACTTAGTCACATGTTGCTGGCATTCCTATTTATTTAGAATGATAGAATCATAGAATTGTTTAGGTTGGAAAAGGCTTTTAAGCTCATCAAGTGCAACTGTTAACCTAACACTGCCAAGTCCACCATTAAACCATGTTCCTGAGCACCACACCTACATGTCTTTTAAATACCTCCGGGGTGGGGACTCAACCAACTGCTAAACAGTTTCCAACGACAGCTAAAAGTGTGTGGACCGGTTTTCTAAAGCTACTTTCAAGGCAAGCAATCTGTGTGGCTGCTCCTGAGAAACTGCTACAGTGAAGAGGATGGAATGTCGTCTATTAATGGGTAAGCAGTGCCATGAAACAGCTCAAGAATGCTGGATATAAACCAGGGTAAACACTGCATGTTATTCTTGGATATAGCTACCACCCAAGTCACAGCAAATTTCACTTCATGTGAGCCAGCACCCTCAAGTAGGGAACATTTCAGAGTACCTACACACGATCCCAGGCACATTTCTGGCACATAACCCATTGGTAAAAAATGTCTTTGAATGCAAACTGGGAGAAGCAGCAGCTAGCTATAGGTTAACTCTGGATATGTTAACACCAATGACTGAAGAAAAGAGAAGACAACCTTCCTACCACTTCTCTGAATATCCTACGATTCCATCCCTCACAAAAAAAATCCTTAAGATGCTTCAGGAAGTCTCTGGAAAAGGTCTCCACCTCTAATACATGTTTAGAGGCCTACAGAATTCACAGTGGTTCAATATTTGTTAAATTATATAGGCCATTTTGCTTAGGATTGTAGCCATGGCATGCAAGTGAGGCCAAAAATACAATGTCAAGAAAAATATTCCACGACAGCAAATGCTTAAATGAGGCATACCCTGACAAAGGAGCTGATCTTGCACATAATTAATCATGCGAGTGCCCTTGGCTGGCTCAGGTCTGTGTGCTTTTTTGGAGATATTTATATGAATGCAGATGAGCAAAAGGAGATTGTATTTATATTATAATAGCTTCTACAGAGCCAAATACCACTCTACGGTTAAACACATTATTCCTGTTTAAACTCATGACAGGTCTGAGCACAGACGCTGAATGGCCTATTTCCATAAATGTTTCAACTCTGTTTTCTGCCATTTTTAAGTTCACCGTATGCTCATATTCTGATTCATTCTGAGAACCTCTGAGAGCTCCCCCCAAAACTGCACGAAGCTTGTTCTATGGGTAGAGCCTCCCAAGGCCACGTGGCTCAGCTTTGCTATAGAACATTGCTAATAGTATAATGGCATTCACCAGGTTCTAAAAATTGCTAAGTATTAACAAGCACCTTTAAAAGCACTTCACAGGGTGATTATTGTGACTGTAATTTCTTCTGACAGGACGAGTCAGCTATGCTAATATTGACAAAACACCATCTCATTAATTCAGATGCCATGTGCTCTAGGAAACATTTCTCTGACATTAGAGAGTTACATGAATTGTTACTCTGCAAAAGAGAAAGAGAGATGCATATTCAATGTACTGGTCTAAATCTTGAAATTCTGGTTGATTCTTCATTCAGTCCTAACCCTGGCCAAATTCTAAAAACCTTGAATAGAATTTGGCTTAGCAGTGAATTCAGGATTTAGCCATTCTCTGAAATATGACATATACTTGAAAGATGGCTTTTACTTCATACCAAATGCTACTGATGATCATGTTCCAAAACTCTCAATTTCTTAGAGTAATGGATTCAGAATTTCTTTACAGTTCATTATCAAGTACCCAGTCATGCCATCCATGATCAATATTGGTAGTACCTTACTTGGGTAGTCCCGTCCACATGAGGAATCCCTCTGACATCAGCGGAGCAGAGTGAATAGTAAGGTGCTATCTATCTACTTTGAATGGCGTAACTGAGCCCACGGTAGTCTGTATTTTGCACATCAGGCGTAGGTTTAGTGAAGGAACTAGCACCCCTGCAAATAATACTGTCTTGTATTATGTGATGCATTGTGGTCACAAAGCAGCACAGCCCCGTCATAAAACAAAGCCTGCACCTGCCCTGGGACAGCTGATAAAAACGTATCACATGCACATACAAATCTAAGGTCTTGTCTTGATGGTAAGTATTAAATCGTACTGATCTAACAAAATGTCTGGGATAATTTATTTAATTCTATACATTAATCTTGTCCCTGGTCTAAGTTCAGTTTAAAGTAAAACTAGGCACAAAAATACAGTGCTTGTTATTATTAAAACAAATAGAAATCTTTATGGATGTTTTCAAAAGATATTTTAGCCATACAGTGCTAAATAGATCAGGCATGCCACAAGAGACACCAAAACACTTGGAAGTTTACGTGGTGTTATGTTTCTCTTGTATTTGTGACCCTGAGTCCCTGTAGTGAACCGTACTGGCACTTGGATCTTCCCATTTTGCAGCATTTACATTCTCTGTGTCTTGAATGGAAGGGGAGGCGGGTGAGAGCACATTGCTCTGCATGGAGTACTCTGCAGCTGCATCATCCAAACAGTAACACAAGGGAGACAGATGGTTACGGATCATTGCTTGGCAAAGACACTACAATGACTTGATGAGATCTTTGCTAAGTTTCAGTTAAGAAATTAAGTAAGCAGAAACTGTAGATGTTAAATAGAAAAAAGAGAAATCTTCTTTAGTCGTGGTATCTTTTGCCAGAAGATAGCTTCAGGGCTTATTAAAGATGGAGCTAGGAATCTCTTCCCTTAGTTTTCACGTTTCCAGGGCTCCTCTTCAACAACACTGAAGTCTGGAGATTTGCCATTGGTTGCCAGTGTTACCTGCAAGTAATTATCATCAACAACCGACTTAAAGGCCAAGGCACTTTGACAAGAAAAGTAGTGAGTTTTATATGGAAGATCATGATATTTACAGGAATTACGTACACCATGTCTTATTTTATATGTAAAATGTATTTATTCAGAATTCACAACACTCCCAAATAGTGAGACTCCTGTTCATTTATTATACTGACTAGAAAACACTAGCAGTAGAAAAAAAAAGTTCCATATTTTCTTAGCCTTTGCTGTATTTTTTTTAATAACTATTTCAGATTTTAGTCCTTTCTATCTCCTATAGATTTCTCTGGATTATTTAAAAAACAGATTACTGTTTTTCTTTAAAATGTAGAATGTAATATTTTTTCAGTGGAATTCCTTAGCAAAGCAGGATAGCTGATGCAAGGACATGAAAGATGTGCAAGGCCAGAATAATCATAGGTACGTATCTATACAAACTCACCTACAATTACACCACCTTTAAAGAAATGGAGGAGAAGATATGCTGTGAAAGTATTGTTCATCATACCACTACTTCTAGCAATGTAGTGAAAGATTTTGACTATAGTCAGACCCAAAATTCATAGTAATGCTATATTTGTCTCACACAAAGTACAGCAAAACATCACTCTTGCCTGTAAAGACATGTGCTAAAATTTTTAGGTTTTAATTATGGTGGAAGACCCATAGTGATCTACCAACTCACAGTAAACACTGGCCAGTACATTGCATCCCAGAATTCACTATAAATAAACCCATGCCTCAGGAAAGATAGCTCCAGCCAAATGACTTACTTAGAAAAATTTTAAAAAGGTAAAATGTCAATTTAACTTTACAGAAGTGATCTAGTTCTTTATAGTTGTGAGAGAACCTTTCATTTAATTTTAAATGGACGGCTCTCTCTTTCCTAACTTACCTTGCGAGTTAACATCCTCAGCTTCAAATGAAAACTTAAAGACAGAGCTGAAATTCCCCATGCTGGATAAACTGGATGCATGGAAGCATTGGAACATGGAAACATGACAAAATGCACTGATTTTTTAAACAAAGTCAAGCTTTTTCTTAGATAATTGAAAGGGGGAAACATGCAAATACAGGAATGAACAACTTATTCAGAAATGAAAATCACATAGAGTCATGTGAAATATGATAATAAAAAAATACAAAAATGTCGTGCAATAACAACCACACTATCCCCATAAACTACTTATTACAAATATACATTGACCATGCAAAATATAAACTACTAGTGTTATACATGGAATATATTACAGAAAGAAAATAGAAAGGACATGCTAGTAGATTAGCTTTTCCAAATTCTGACCAGAGTCGCAGTGAGCTTTTCAACCCACCAGTGCATTTGAGAGGATGAAGAGATGTGTCTTCAGATTTAACAGCTGGCTGTTTTGAGGCCCCAAATCCTACACTCTGTTGCTTTTGCTACTCTAACATTTGGGAGCTGTAAATCACTTCAACGAGATCCAAATGCTTTGCAAATGTCAGCATATATTCATAGCTTATAAAGTAGACAATAACATCACATCCTGCCGGCAGCTTGCAGATGGGCAAGTCAAGTGACCTGCTCAATCTTGTGCTCAATCCAGTAACTCTGGCTCTTTTCATGAGTTTAAAAGTGCAAAATGAGATTGCAAGCAGAGCAAACCTAAAACAATGAAAAGGACAAACACTTCTAGCTCATAATTCACTGCTCCCAAATTTTAATTAAAGGGTGTGCTTAGGGTGACATACCACACCATTGATCCATGTTTTTGAGGTAATCTAATGCCTCAACTGAGAGAAATGATAAGAGAAAATGAAGGAGAAAAGAAAGTCCATCAAGTATTGCATCAATGGGCAGTAGTAACTTTCTAGCTTGACTTGGATCTCTGTGCAAATCTGAGAGACTGGAAGGAGACAAAATTATCAGTACTCAGTTCCATGAACCTGCTTCAGACAGATATATGGTCTTAAACCCACTGAAATTAGCACGGCCTATTTCACTGTAAAGTTTTCCAAAAGTTCTGGAAGAAGTTAACCAAAAAGTGTGTGTGCGCACGTGCTTATTGTTAATGAAAAAAATCTTTTACCAAATTAGATCTTTCTTTTCAGGGACTTTCTTTTTTCCTTCAAATTTTTATCTCTTCTGTGTCCTTTCCTTTTTTGAGAAATACAAATTAAAGAAAATTTTTAATTTTTGGCATTTCCATGTCAAAATTTTTTTTCTTTAATTTTTCTCATGGAATAAGAGTGGTTCAGAAGAGGAAGGGGAGAGCCATGTCAGAACAAAATGTTTGTTTTCATTTTAAAAAATCGTTTTACTAAAACCTAGGAAGATTCAGGGAAAAATTGAGGATAAGATGAAAGTTTCTTCTTCCCTGAATTCAGTATTATTTTTTCCTCTGGAAATTCAGGTTTGGCCTGCAATTATCTAGAAGTAAGCATTAGAAAAAAATATATTCTAAACATTTCCAGCCAGGCTGGAGACAGGTGAAAGTGACAGAATATGACTTATATGGTGATCTGCTAGTGGACTTAGTGTGGGCATTCACAGTTAGATACTGGCTCAGTTGTGGCAACTGGAAGATGCAAGGAAATCTGCTTGGATAAATGGCTACAGGTAGGCTGACTGGCAAATTCGCGGTGTCAAAGACAGCACACAGGATCAGATCAGCATACTACCAAATAGAAGAAGGACAACGAAATGAAAAGTTCCAGCTTGTTTTACTCTCTTTCTCCTCCTTTTCAAAAACTCTCTTGATTTTAAACTGCCCCATCCTAATGGTGGGTGCTTAGGAAACTTTTAAGCACTAACCTCCCTGACTGTTTTCTCATTCAACTGGTGGGGTTTCTCAAGCTCACTTTGCTCTGATCAAGATGTTATCATCATGACTATTAATAATCCATGTTAGTTACAGCAAGGGTTAGAGAGAGAGTACGATCTTTGTGTTTTAATGACATGGAATGATGACAGAAGCTAAGCGTAAGCATGCTGTAAGAGTGAAAGAGCATTCTGCTGCTAAAGTGCATTCAATATGTCCATCTCTGCACAGCATATCATGGAAGGCAGTCAGCAAATGACAACACCTGTATCTGAATTGCAGCTATCCTTCATTTGGGTTGGCAATTAAGTTCTCTGTTGCCATAGAAAATTAAGTAAATGTCCATAGAAGGTGATGCCATATTCTCTGCATCTTGGCATATTCCATAATACGCTGCATCTTGCCTTTTGATATGTAAACAATGTACATGATTTTTTCCCCTCGAATGACAACTTCTAAGAAGAGTGCAAAAAACCACCTTTTGAACTGCTCAAACTCATTCAAAATGTCTGGGGTTCATGGACCTTGTTGTCACATTGTTATTTGCAGAACGATTTGAAAAATACATGCAGGTTAAAAAATAAGATAAAATAAAGCATGCAGTGCTATATACATGTCTCAATATCCATAAATGTGAAAGGTACCTTGCACTCATCTACTATGACTGAGTTGTGAGCTGCAAAAACACATTGGTTTGAGTTGTTTTCCCTATGATTTTTCATGTCATCATAGATTGACTGAGTCTTGGTCATTTCAATGTCTTCGTGACCTTTATGATGGGAATCAATGGTGTCAAGTTCTGCCTTGGAAAGGTGGTAGACAATGCCAGCACCAAAAGAATCCCCCACTACATTGACTGACGTTCTCATCCGGTCCCTACAAAAGAAGCAAAAGGCAGAGGCTGAATGGCATGAGAGGAAGAAAAAGTAGGGCATGGCAGCCCCGTTAATGTTACAGTTACTGCAACTATTTCAGAAAGTTTAAGGCATCTTTAGAACAGAAAGATGGGAGCTTTCAAGTGAAATTGAAAACGGTTGCTTTCCCAGGGGACTTGTTCAGACAGAGAGGATGTGCAAACTCCCATGTTCCAGCTGCTCATACTCATGGATTTTGGCTAAGAAATTGCGCTAGAGACACAGCCAAACTGCAGAGCTGTGCTTGACTGAGATCTCCCCAGCGCCTGCTTCTAGAGCTGGCAGTTTCAATGTCAGGGTGCCAGGCTCACATCATTGCCTTTTGTTTAATGTGAATTTATCAGAGCACTGAACTTAATGCAGTAGAGAAAAGGATTTTGGATCTGATGAAGTGGTCTCATTTCTGGGACAGATCATGAATCCTTTTATATTCAGTGAGCAAACTACGGGGAAAAAAATGCCTGAAATATCTCCATAAGGCTCAGGCCATTGAAGCTCCTCTCCTGGCACCATCTTTACAGATGGTCATCTGTTAGCATGGCAGCATGCCCACTCACACTACTGTATGCCCGAGCTCAGCATATGAGCCAACTAAATATAGGTCATGGCCTACAAAATGACAGCATTTCAGTAACAAGTGCCCCTCGTTGTATGAGGGTGCCAACAGAAGCTCATGTGCTTCATTAAAAAGAAACGTGTTTGTTGGCAGTTCCTGGTCAGGATGCCATTGGACAGACACATCATCTTTCTCTTCTCTTGTTTTTAGAGTGTGGCTCTATCTGTAAGCAGATTTTCCCTGATTTCAGGATTCTGCCCCAAAATTCTGCAAAAATGGGAGATGGTCTTACAGAGCACTGCAGGACTATGGGCTCCTGCTATCTTTCCTGCTGCAGGTAGGCTGTATTACACATGTTGAAATAATTTACAGTCTGATTTGCCTCTTCATGTCTGAGCTAAACATAAGACTCAAAAAAAACCTCCTGACTGAGGGTTGCAACTTAAAGCTACTGCAGCAACTGAGTCTAGCTTTGTGACACGGGTCAGAGAAGTGATTACACTGACGAATTCTCAGAGGTATGTCCACAAAGACTCATTTACACAAAATGGGCAGGTTGAATAGTGTGGACATTTTCCAAGTGACAGAAAAGCCAGCATGTAAGACTTCATTTCCCGTGACAGTGATTAATGTGAAAACACCCTTCCTAGTATTTCTGATACTAGATTTGTGTAACATCTCCTTTTCCTGTAGAACACTGAGAAAAGAACCCTACATATATAAACCTCAAACTGGTAAACATTCGTTACACATGCCTCTTAATGGCCAGACAAACTTTTGAGCCCTCTTCAACTTCTTTGCTTTAAATATCTGTAAATCTGCCTTTCCCAGCTATGGAGCTGTATTCCCTTTCAAGTTTCTCCTCTCCCTCTCTACATTATCATGCTTACACATTTGGAGTTTGTGGTGTAATATCTTAGTTGAAGCAATTAAGTTTTTTTTTTTTTTGTCATCAAAAGAATACTCAGAAGGAAAAACCCCCTCCTATAATCCCCCGGAAAAAGAAACCAACAACCCACAGAAGGAAAACATCCTTCCAGTCTTGCTTCACACAAATGAAATGCTTTATACACAGTTCTCTTCCCATGCCTGTGAAGAGTGTTTTAAACCTGCTCAGAGTGGCAGAATAGGAAAATATGACTTTCCAAGGGTAATTTTTAATTAAGACCATCGAATATACTGAACCTGGCAATACAGCTCTGCAAAAAGAACACCTGCTTTTTTTTTTTTTTTTTGTATGAGTGGTATTAAATTTTGAAAGGATTTACTGATGCCAGGTGACGGAGGAATAATATAGGATGCCAAAAACGTAAGGTGGAGACAACACATAAATATAATTGAGCCACAATTCAAATTCCAAAAGGTCATTTGAGGAGATGCTCCAGCCCATATTCATGTACAACTAGTGAAGAATTTCAGTGATACAAACGGCACCCTGCTGCAGAACATGCTATACTGCATGAACCAAAGTAAACAAGAAAGCTCCTTACAACAGAAAGGACAAAGTCTTGGCTGTCAGGAACCAACAGCAAAGTGCCACTGACCTCTTTTGGGCCAAAGAACACCCTAAGAAGAACAAAGAAAACTGTTCTTACTCTTCTGTTAAAAACAACCAACCAATTCCAGCACAGCTGGAATGATGTAGACAAAATCAATATAAGAAAATTACAGTCTAGTAAATGACTTGCCCCAACACAGCTACTTCTGCATTGCCCGTAACAGCTTCTGAGAGGAATAATGGGACTGAAAGTCAAAGTTCTCTCTCAAAAGCCAACTCAACATCTGGTAAGAATGGGCTTTGGAATAATTGGGAGGTATTTCTTTAAATCCTGATAAGGGCTAATGCCTAATTTCCTCAAACTGGCATAAAACAGAACTGGAAGCTTACCAACGTAGATGAAAGCAACAGAAATGAGAAGAACTGAATCAAGCCGCCTTATTATTCATGTCATAGTACCTATATAGCATGCTAGTATGCAAAGATATTACTCCTGTTCCCTGAAAGCTTGAAAACCTGGTATATCAACCTTACTAAATTTTAGAAAGGAGATTAAAATCTTAGAACACCTGCTAAGTCAAAGACTAGGTGACATGTTTAACTTGCCTTACCTCTTTGTCATTATAGGAAAGAGCTTCTGGTTTCTATAGTTTAATTCAATTTATATAAGGCCCTGTTCATAACATCCAGACGTCAACTGCGTCTGAATATTCTGAATCTAGATCTAAGCCAAGGAACAGAGTCAGAACGCAAGCAATCTTTTTCTTAGTTACTGAATGAAGGTTTAAATACTGGATCAGCCATCCAAGCCCATTTTCTCTAATTCCTCTCTCTTCACTGCAAAATACCACTGTATTTGAGGTTGTGCTATGACATTTGCTAAGCTTGCCAGTCTCACATCTGGAAAGTAGCCAGCTTCTGGCTAGAGCAAAAGCTGGTTTTATTCCAGCTGTTAGCATATAATTACCGTCATATTAAATGTCACTGCTGTGTTGTGCTTAGTTTTAAACTGAGAAACTATGAGAGTTGTGAAATCTTGGGAAACTTGCCTGGTGAAAGAGGTGTTTGTACGTACGTGTGGGAGGGGGAAAGGTTGAGCAACCTGATCTCCAGATACTGGAGAAGCTTGAAAAGAGACTGATACAGAAGCCTTTTGAAGGAAAGACTGCCAAGGTTAAGGACAATCAGAAGTCAGTTTTGTGTTACAACATGACCAAATCGTGCAAAACTGGTTTTGGTAAGACCACAGTTTCAGATGAGAGTAGTATTGTAAAATCAATCGATGTTCTGATATTTCCTTTCATCAGAAATACTGAAAAACTCATAGAGTAGGACATTTCTAAAAAGCTTTCATTATCTGGAATTGAAATGTCATAAAAGAGCTATTTCAAATATTTCTCCATAGCTGGTTGCATTTAGACACTGGTTCCAGAAAAGTGGCTGGAATATTAAATATTTTATTAACTTTCTCTTCTACATTCTGTCAGAAATACTGCTGTAATGTTATTTGATGGCCTAAAAAAATGAAAGAAGACCATGTTTATAAGTGAAGAAAATATCTTTTCATGACCTTTTGTTTCAGATACTCTTCAGGTCTGGTTTGTGTGCACAAAAGCTTGCTCAGAAGTTAGCTTGTGTGCCTTTTCTTAACATCAGCAATGTCAGCAGCATTGTCTTCCATATTGCATTAGAACATGTGGCTACCACAATGCAACCACTGGAAGATGGAAAATAAAGCTATTAGCTGTTGACATATGTTAATTAGCACAACATTTCCACCAGCAAACTTTGGCTTAACTTCGCAGCACTAGTGGCATGACAGAGAGCTTTTCATCTCCTTTTCCCTTTTCTCTCTACCTTTCAATTCTGAATCACGCTGCAATTGCACTGCTGATTGCTGGGCCAGAAGGATCCAAACACAACTGTTTGTGCTGAAAGGTTCTTTTGCCTGGTATTTGTTTTGGAAAGATACCTTGAAATATTTCTTTCAGAAGTCCTATCCTTCCTATACTTACATTCATGACTGCTACAGCTCCACAGATGTTTTTATTTCCTAGGCAGGGTTGGATGAGCCAGTGGTAACAATGCTGCTGAAGCTGAGCCTGAAAGGCAGCACCTTCTAGTGGATCAGAACTGCTAGTAAACTTACAGCTCTGAGGTTTGCTAGTGTGGGCAGAGTTTCTCAGTCCACAGGAATATTTTTAAATGGCATTTCCCTAAAAAAACAAACAAACCACAGGCTGCTTTTGCACATACTCCTACCAGCTGCAGAAACCTACCTATTTGCCTTGCTTTGAGAGCCAGAAAAAAACCATATATTTAAAATGAGTATGCACCTCCCTTTTGCTGTCCTCCTCCCAGCTGCAGATTCCTATCCTGCCTTCCTGTTTTCAACCATGACCTCATAAAATAAACCCACAGAATATCACATTTTTCTCTATACCAGCTGTA